CTGTACAGCAGACAGCTCCTCTGTAAAAAAACAACAATCTCTGCCCACCATCAATAGGTTGTTTATCTTTATAGGGCTCATCAACTTCTACAGTGAATTCCTTAATTTTCTTCATCTCTACTTCATGTTTATTTATAATTTCTTGGATCTTCAGAGCTTCTTGAATCTGTCTGATTTCTGTCTGTTTCAGGTCAATAAACTCTATCCTCTCTTTCAGGTTTTGGATGGAGGCTTTCAGTCTTATCCGTTCATTTAACACTTCAACTGTTGTCATCAGTTTTTGAGGACTAGATTTTTCTAAGAAGTCTGTGAACTGATCCATGTTTTTCTGTGTGAGTTCCCATGTATTTTTTGAAATTGTGTTTTCCTCCATTCGCTCTTCATGCTGGCAGTTATCAAACAGGAAGTAAACTGGCTGCTTCTTCCCTTTTTTGGCACATTTAATATTTCCAACTTCAAGAGCTTGAAGAGGGTTTTCAGGTCTGCTTCCATTTGAGTGTGTGATCAGAGCTACAATGTTTTTTTCCATGTTTTTTCCAAACAGAGACATCACTGAATCAAAGACATACAGCAGTCGGTCACCCAGTCGATTTTCACTCGCCTTCATCACCAGACCCACTGCATGAACTTCATGGACTCCATCATCTGATCCAAACAAGTCCAACAATCTGTGACTGATGATGTCATCATGTTCGATCCCTCTGGTGTCTCTATAACCAGGAGTATCGATGATGGTCAAAGAATAGGGCAGAGTTTCACCTTCAAAACCAAAGAGCTCGTACACCATCACATCTGATGTCTGACTTTCTGTCTGTCCTTCTGATTGACTTTCTGTCTGTCCTTCTGATTGACTCTTCTTCTCCTCCTCCTCTACCATCGTAAACCAGACTCCATCCTCCCACTTCACTCCCATGGTGTAGTTGACCAGAGCGTTGATCAGTGTGGATTTTCCTGCTCCTGTTTCTCCCACCAGTAAGATGGTTCTGTTTGTCTTGTTTGGATTTTTTTCTCCAACAGTCATTCTTGTCAGAGATCCGAACTTCTGTTTCTGTGGTCTCAGCTGACAGACAGCAGGAGGTCCTGAACTGATGAGAAAACTATTTGAGATGATGTCTTCATGTGATGTCTTCATGGTTCACTAATCCTAAAAAGCAGAAATTCTTCAGTACACATGTAAACATTATGAACATGGTCAATGGGAGGGACTGCAGAGCTGTTACTCCTCCATATCAAAATAAACAAGGTGACGTGTTTGGGACATCACCCTGGAGAAGATCCAGGACATGCTGTCTCTGGGCCGGCTTGGATAGATTAGAGGAGGAGACTGGGGAGAGCGAGGTCTGTGCACCTCTACTGTCCTCGATGACACAGACACAGATAAATGTCAGAAAATGGACGAATGGAAGGACTAAATTATTGATTTTATTGTAATTCTCCTTCCTTTCGACCTGATGTTAATTTGTCTTTATTGGTCTTTTTTTCCATGTTCACACAAAACACATAAAGAAACTGGAATCAATCTGAGAAAAAATAGATTTCTATAGCTAGCCTTCAAATCCAGCCATGAAAATCAGCTTTCTGTCTGTAATTCATTATTATCAGGATGTCCAAAAAACTCGCTGAAAAGCCTTCAGCTAATCCAAAATGCTGCAGCAAGAGTCCTGACAGGGACTAGAAAGAGAGAGCATATTTCTCCTGTTTTGGCTTCCTGTTAAATCCAGAATTGAATTCAAAATCCTGCTCCTCACATACAAGGTCTTAAATAATCAGGCCCCATCTTATCTTAATGACCTTGTAGGACCATATCACCCTATTAGAGCACTTCGCTCTCGCTCTGCAGGCCTACTTGTTGTTCCTAGAGTATTTAAAAGTAGAATGGGAGGCAGAGCCTTCAGTTTTCAGGCCCCTCTTCTGTGGAACCAGCTTCCAGTTTGGATTCGGGAGACAGACACTATCTCTACTTTTAAGATTAGGCTTCAAACTTTCCTTTTGCTAAAGCATATAGTTAGGGCTGGACCAGGTGACCCTGAATCCTCCCTTAGTTATGCTGCAATAGATGTAGGCTGCCGGGGATTCCATGATGCATTGCGTTTTTCCTTTCCAGTCACCTTTCTCACTCACTATTGTTAACAGACCTCTCTGCATTGAATCATATCTGTTATTAACCTCTGTCTCTCTTCCACAGCATGTCTTTATCCTGTCTTCCTTCTCTCACCCCAACCAATCACAGCAGATGGCCCGCCCCTCCCTGAGCCTGGTTCTGCCGGAGGTTTCTTCCTGTTAAAAGGGAGTTTTTCCTTCCCACTGTTGCCAAAGTGCTTGCTCATAGGGGGTCATATGATTGTTGGGTTTTTCTCTGTATCTATGAAGCGCCTTGAGGCGACTTATGTTGTGATTTGGCGCTATATAAATAAAATTGAATTGAATTGAATTGAATAGTGTCACGCTAAGAGAAACACTGATGTGTTCGAAAAAGGATTCAACATTGATAATAATCTGTACCCTTTCTCTCATAATTATCATATACTTTTGAAACAAAAATACCAATTATTTATAATTACTGTAATTAAAATTTAAATGAATTACATATTTTTAATAATAATTATAAACTACAGTCATTGTTCTGTAAGTGCTCTCAGTTTGACATACCACAGTGCTTCTTCATCCTCTCTCCTTCTCATCTCCTCCAGTTTCTGGACCTTCTCTGTGTCTCCTTTCTGCTTCATCTTCTCAATCAGGAAGTCCAATGGACAACAGTGGATGCTGAATCAGCTTTCAGAGCGATTCCTCCAGTCTGACAGCATCTGGTAGGACTCGTCCAGGAACTGGGACTTCTCTGCTGCCAGCAGTTTCATTTCCTTTCCAAATAAATAAACATCCTTGTCTTCTGCTGGTGGTTCATTTTCTGACCTCTCCTTATCCTGGTCACATATCTCCTCTTTTCTTTCACATGGTCTGATGCAGGACACTTGTTGGTACATGACGTGCAGAGACCACCTTGAAAGACCTCACAGTGATTTAAGGGCACCGTGCATCCAGGATAGTGACAATTCTCCTCACAGACTGTACAGCTGACAGCTGCTTTAAAACCCGGCCCACACGTCTCTGACCTGATAGCTTCTTTATGTTTAAAAACAACACATGGAGTGACCACTTCATTCTTCTGCAGAGCTTCCCGAGTCTGTTTCATCTCTCTCTGTTTCACTTCAGTGAATCTGATTCTTTCTTGCAGGTTTTGGATGCAGGCTGTCAGTCTGATTCTTTCCTTTAACACTTCAGGAGTTGCCTCTGGCTGCACAGGTGTACTTTCTTTCAGGAAGGCTGTGAACTCTCTCACTCCTCTCTCTGATCTTTCAAAATTTAGTTTCAGAAATTCTTCTTCCTCATCTTCAAGCTGGAGTTATTAAACAGGAAGTAAACTGGCTGATTCTTCCCTTTTTGGCACATTTAATATTCCAATCTTCAAGAGCTTGAAGAGGGTTTTTAGGTCTGCTTCCATCTGAGTGTGTGATCAGAGCTACAATGTTTTTCTCCAAGTTTTTTCCAAACAGAGACATCACTGAATCAAAGACATACAGCAGTCGGTCACCCAGTCGATTTCACTCGCCTTCATCACCAGACCCACTGCATGAACTTCATGGACTCCATCATCTGATTGAAACAAGTCCAACAATCTGTGACTGATGATGTCATCATGTTCAGTCCCTCTGGTGTCTCCATATCCAGGAGTATCGATGATGGTCAGAGAGTAGGGCAGAGTTTCATCTTCAAAACCAAAGATCTCGTACACCATCACATCTGATGTCTGACTTCTTCTCTCCTCCTCTGCGATCGTAAACCAGACTCTATCCTCCCACTTCACTCCCATGGTGTAGTTGAGCAGAGCATTGATCAGTGTGGATTTTCCTGCTCCTGTTTCTCCCAACAGTAAGATGGTTCTGTTTGTCTTGTTTGGATTTTTTTCTCCAACAGTCATTCTTGTTCCAAACTTCTGTTTCTTTGGTCTCAGCTGGTAGACAGCAGGAGGTCCATCAGATCTCTGATCACTCTTGGAGATGATGCTCTCATATTTCCTGCAGAGATATTTTACACAAGTGTTTTGTGTTCTGTCAGAATTTTTCTGCTGAAGGTTCAGACTTTGAAACTTGGCTTCTCAAATATGGAGAAATGATTTTTCATCCTTTTCCTCATAACATCAGTTAAAGTCTCAGCTGCTGTTCAGTTTACTTTTCTGCTGTGTTAATGTGTCCATGTATGAACTCTCACTGTAGTGTACGCTACCAATAAATGAAATCAAGAATTCTCTCACTGTAAATGTTCCACTGATATGAATGCATTATTATTTCTACAGTTAATACACAGTTATCATGTCTGACAGCATCAGCATTAGAAGCAAGAAAGCAAAAGAAAAGGAAAGAAAACAACCTTTTTTATTCAAAAAAATAAAAAAATTCCCCAAACATTTGCACCTAATAATTGCGTAACACATTCATCTGTGCCCCATTATGTGTAGAGTATAGAGCTCATGATTACTTCACTTGTTTAAATTACTTAGGTTGGTGCTACTCACTGTGTTGCCATGATAATGAGGATTAAACATATGTGATGACACCTGGAAAAAAAATACAAGAGAAAATCAATCTAAGCAAACATCCTAGGAAAAAAAATCAATTCAGGTTTATTAATATATCACTAAATCATCTTCTGTGTGTTATACCGTAAAGACCCTACAGTGTTCTGGAGAAAGTCTTGGCAATCAGACAACCCCTATGAATAAGTACTTGGTGACAGTGGGAAGGAAAAACTCCCTTTTAACAGAGAAACCTTCATCAGAATCATGCACAGGGAGGGGCGGCCATCTGTCACGACTGTTTAATGTTAGTGGTGGGCAGACTGATCAAAATATTGATTGTACTCGGTATAGGATCGATACTAGCCTGGTGAGTTCTGCTCTTGTTTGCGTTGCTGTGCTTTTGGCAAACATAGTCATTATGTCATTCAGTCATTATGCAAATTGTACTGTTTATAAGATTGGTGAAACCTGCAGTCAGGTGAGACTGAAGAAATCACTTGGATGAGTGACGAAACGTCTCTCCCACAAAACGCTACGTCCAGATGAACAGAATCAACTTTTGGAGACGTATTTCCTCTGTGTTCACATACATAGCAGCCGAGCTGCACAGAGCCCAGACGACAGCGTATGCTTGAACGCTGAAGCCGTGTCCCTGCTGTGTTGGCACACTGTAGCCGAACTACTTGCTAGCGCACAGCCGCACAGCGTGGTCCGACCGGTGCACAAGCCTATTTTGAGGCGATAAACCGGGGAAGGGACACCAACCAAGGGGAAAGCTAAGGGCAAGCTAAGGGGAACCAAGCTAAGGGATAGCAGGGCACACCAGGGGAATACCGGGGCTACCTGGGGAGTGCCGAGGCTAGCAGGGGAATACCGGGGCTACTGGGGAAAGGGGTGAGGCACCGCCCACAGACTATGCCGGAACATGCGCCTGACGGACGCACAAACATACAGCACTCTCAACGCAAAGCACTCACACACACACAACACAAGTGGAGATCAAACGATCACCGGTGTCACGTCTGCACAGCTGTTTGATACATGCGCTGTGGGATGTAACCGGGGGTGCTGGAGTGTCTTAAAGAATATCCACACGCCACGATCAAAATGTAAACTAATAGACGCTGAGCATAATAACAAAGAGACAGATTTCACAGCTGCTCTGTTCCCAACTTCTACTGTGTGACTGACAGCCTGGAGTTTGAAATCCTCTTCGTAACCACGTCTCTTAACAGGTGCCATTTATGGTCCTTATACACAGTAAGGTAATATTACGTTGAAGCACAGTACGTATCACTCCGCCAGGCTCAGCCGTAATGCTCTGACAATCCATCAAGCGGTGCAGCTCCGTAGCTTAGCAAAGTCGTACTAAAACATTTTTGACAGATTGCTGAGCGCCGTGTTCCACATAAAATCGGTTTGCGGCCATCAAGCACAACCAGAATTCATACAAAAGGCACGTTGTCAACTTTTGAGAGAATGAAAGGATTTTAGGCCGTGCAGCACCTCTGGGCTGCATGGCGTTAGCGTGGTTAGCTTGTTAGCGTGGTTAGCTAGCTAACACGTTGACGCCATCCAGCCCCACGCACGGGGCGATGCGCAGTAACTCGCTAACGGAGATTTGCCGTGTCCATGTTGTCGCTTCCTGCAGGTGAAGCGATGGGGGAGGAGGGGGAGTTGTGTTCAGTGAAGGAGGGGCGAGGCCAAGTAACGTTGCGTAAAGACGAAAGTGGACGAAAGAGAGGCAAACTTGCGGCTCCACAACTATAATTATAACGTAACATAGACTATATCGATATAAAGGATATTGTCACAGCTTATATCTCGTATAAAAATATATCGATATTTTTTAAAAACTCGATATATCGCCCAGCTCTAGTATGGAGAGATAGTCTCGATATGCACTCAGAAAAATTATGGTTCTTAAATGGTTCTTCAGATGTCTTCATGGTTCTTTAAAGAACCATCATACGTCAAAGAACCTTTTTATTTTGTGGATGGTTCTTCAGCTATTACAAATGGTTCTTTAAGGAACAAAAAGTTCTTCATCCTTAGCAATCTAAGTTTGATGGTGTAAATGACATAAATATTTATTCACCATAACGAGGCTGTGAATTATACTGTGTGTTTTCTTTGTGTGCATGTGTGTGCGAAGGGGGAGGGCGGATTACCTGGCAATTACCCTTTAAGAGAAGATGGTAGGAAACTGAATATTCAAATAAAAGTTAGAAATATTTGCTTAAAAATTATACTGGTGGCAGGGGTGGGGGTGAAAGCCTACAGACCCTAACCCCCCCCCCCCCCCCCCCCCCCCGCCCACACACACACACACACACCCCTAACCCTGCAAACTGAATATGGTGAGTTAACAAACAGACCCACCTGGCCTTTTTGACGGCCACGTCTGGCCCATGTACCTGAAACATAAGAACATCCGTTGTTCTTATGAATATGGTGAGTTAACAAACAGTAGACACAATACACACATTCAAATACTGTACTTTAGTTTTACATTTTAATAAAGCATTACTACTTTCTACTCCAAGGCATTACTTTTGAGATTATTATATATTTTTGAAAATATAGCATAATGATAATACTAGTTATTGTAAACTTTACAAACCACCCAGCAGTATGTAAAGTCAAATTATATAATACAAGTAAATAACAATTACACAACAGAATGTACACTGCTTAGGTAAATGATCTGAGTAGTGTTACGATCCAATGTTGTCAGTGTTTTGTGTTAGGCGTGACTGTTATGTGTTTCCTGTTTTACTTTGAAGGTCTGTCTTATCTCAGTGTGTTCAGTTTACGCTTCCTTGTCTCGTCAGTTCTGATTTGCCCCAGCTGTGTTTCCCTCCTGTTGTCCACTCCTTGATTGCTCCCTCTATGTATTTAAGCCCTGTGTTTCAGTTTGTCATGGTCGTGATTGTCCCCCTGTGTTGTAAATAGTTGTCGATACTTTTTCTTACTCGGTAGCTGTAGGGGTGAGAAGCCATTTTTCTTTGGCAACCTTTTCTCCTGTTTTTGGTTAGGGAGGCAGGTAAGACACCTGTAATTTTCGTTTGGGGTTTTCTGTGAAGGTAAGCCAGCTGCATTTCATTTCTAGTAGTGATGGCCAAATGAAGCTTTCTGAAGCATTGAAGCTTGTATTGAAAAACGGTTCATTACTCGAAGCTTTTCAACACAGTCCTCTCTGGTGACATCTGGTGGCCAAAAATATGAAGTGCAGCTTGAATCCACAAAATAAAACCAACCGCTTCATTATGATTGCCCACTCACTCTACAGAGTGGAATCCTGTCTGATATTGGGCCTCCGGCGTGTTGCTTTGAACGTGTATTTTTTGGTGGTTAAGAAAATGTGCTTTGTTTGTTTAATAAATAGTTTTGACCAGTAAACTCTCCTTGTTTAAATATGCACCATGGTGTGGTCTGTCTTTGCTTGTGACTTCTTGATGTTGGTAAATACAATAATTGAAAAATACCACTTTACATATATATACATATAATAATGTAAAACACATTATGGAGTATGCTTCTGCTGTGAGGTCTTGCCTCCATGCAGGTATGCAATTAATCGCCGGAGGGGTGTATTTATAAATAATATTATATTAAGGAAATTTTCCCAGACATATTTTTGACCTGGGGGTAGAATTGATTGTGAAATGGAAAGGGAAAATGCTTATGAACTTGCAAATTAAAAACATGATGCATTGACGGTAACCCTTTTCCATTTTTATTTAAAAAGAGAATTTGTTCTAGTGTGCGATGGCCAAACCTGTTCCTTTTTATGGAGATCATTTCTCCTGCATTAAGAGAAATCCCTTCACATGGAACAGAAGAGGCTGGAGTGCAGAGAAACTGGTAGAGATGCAGTTTTACAGTCTACCTGGGCCCCACCAACTATCAGCTGAAGAGAATAAAGAAATTCAATTGCTGCACATTTGGCAGACTAACATTTTCAGATTAATTACACAATAAAATATATATTTTTACAACATTACATGTAAAGAGTCAAGTGGAAGTTTTTCTAAAGTTATTTAATGATATTTATATTATGGAAGCAGATTTTTGACATTTTATCTTTTTCCCGTTTTCAGATATAATAAACACGCACAAAACAAAAGTAAACAGCCAGAACACAAAGCTGGAAAACCCACCCGATCGACCAAAATCAACTCAAAATACTCCCACACAACAGAACCTCCTCTATTCCTCGCTGGCTCCAAATCTCTCAGTGGAATCATCAGTGGTTCGCTATCTGTCACCATCAAAACGCTCCACAAATCCCGCAAATGATTCGCTTCCTTATAAACCATTGAATCAGACACCGAAGCAGTTAGGTTCTAAATGAAGCTCGGACATCACTGATCACGTGACTCTGGCCAAACGAATCAAGCTTCGACACAGTCTGAAGCAGTGTGTTGATTTTTTTGACACACGCACCGGAGCTTCAGCTTCAAGCGGACCATCACTAATTTCTAGAGTTTTTGTTTGTTGTTTTGGCCATGCTCACCCTGATGCCTGCTACCTTTTGGGACTCAATAAACTGACTGGCTGTTGTGAAATCCGTGGTAGCTGTTTTTTGTTGGTTCGTCCTTCTTAAGAGCAGAGAGTGGGGGGGGCATTCTTCCTTATTTTTATTTTCCTTATGTTGCATGCCAGTTTTCCCTGGGCTGGGGTGTAGCATAAATGGGGGCTCGTCCATTCGCTGGAAGGTCCGAGGGACCGCTTCAGCCTTCCTCTCTTCGTTGTCAGTGTTTTGTGTTAGGCGTGACTGTTATGTGTTTCCTGTTTTACTTTGAAGTTCTGTCTTATCTCAGTGTGTTCAGTTTACGCTTCCTTGTCTCATCAGTTCTGATTTGCCCCAGCTGTGTTTCCCTCCTGTTGTCCATTCCCTGATTGCTCCCTCTATGTATTTAAGCCCTGTGGTTCAGTTTGTCATGGGTTGTGATCATTGTGGTGTTGGTGTCGTAGTTTTGTAAATAGCTGTAAATGGATTTGTAAAGTAGCAATTGAGTATTTTTCCCA